ATGTACACATAAAAATTGTTTATTCATTAATGCAGCTAATGGTAGACAATCAAAAGCGAGCATAGAAGATTCATAAACTTGTTCTGTATATTTAACAAAACATTCTTGTTTAAAACTAAATATAACCGAAAAAGAAAAAAATTCAATGAAAAGAAAAACAAGAAAAATTTTCTTACGTAAAATAATCTGTTAAATGTCGACATTCATGATTTCCTCGAAGTAAAAAAAATGTCTTCGGATAATGAATTTTTAATGACCATAAATAAAGAACACTAAATTGAAAGAAAAAGAAAAAAATAAGAATTTAAAAAAACAAAAAAAAAAAAAGAAAATTTCAAACCATTCGATTCCAAAATATCCTCGATCAACATAATCACCAAGAAATAAATACCGAGTAGTAGCTGGAGAACCTCCAACTTCAAATAATCTATGAATAAGAAGAAAAAAACAGACAATTAATTTGTATAATTCTATTTAAGTTTACTTGATTAAATCATAAAATTGTCCATGAATATCACCACATATTGTCAATGGTGCTTCAATATCAAGCATTGTCGGTTCATCACGTAAAATCGTAGCACCTTAATGAACAAATAATATAGGAAAAACAAAACTTATCATTATGATTGTTGACAAACATATCTGTTTTTTTCTTATATGGATGATGGACAAATGTCATGTTGCAAAAAAAAAAACGTTGATTTATGAAAGCGTTGATTTCGTATCAATAATCAACAAATTAGTTAGTCAATTATGAAGCTTCTAGTGACCTTTGTATTGAAAGAAAAGAAAATAACTGAACTTGTGTTTGTCTATTCGTATCATTTGTTTACTTGTTTTTAATTAAAATCTTATCTTAATAAGAAATACATAAACTTTGATAAGAGTCTATTTGTAATTATAGAAGTTCTTCTCTATTTCTTATTCTATCACAGCAATAATTTGGTGACAACTGTCATACAATTTGAGATAAGGAAAAGAAAAAAAAGCAAATTTTTTTTTTTTTTTTACCAGCTTCGATTATTCGAATAGCAGCTTGTTCAGTAAGACGACCTTCGAGTAAAAGATGTTGTTTAAGAATATCTAAATTAGGTTTGTCATCTGGATCGGATCCATCAGTATAAATATCTTCAATATCAAGACGATGTTTGGGTGGTTGTGGAACTGTTTTACAATTTCTGTCTCTTGTACTATATTTCGGAGTTGATGATGATGATAACGCTGAGGGAGCGTCACAGGTTTTATCACTACTGGTCATGGAGATAATTTTATTTTCATTATTCTAAAGAGAGAGATAACATTTAACCAATATATTGATACAAAAAAAAAAAAAAAAAGAAGAAATCAAATGATTTTGATGATACTTAATATAGATAACTAATGATATGCATAAGTGATTTTCTTAAAAATACATATTCTTTTATTTCTTTCTCTCACCTTAATGATTACGTTCTATATAAATACAACAATGATAGGAGTTTTTGATGTATGGATCAACGTTGTTGTAATATATTACATAGAAGAATATGTATTTGTATTTTATGCCTTTTTGTACACTCTTTTTTATTTCCCGAAGCGCATATGTATATGTACCCGTTGAGGATACGGAAAAAAAAAAGAAAGAAGAGAACAAAAAAATACGATTACTAACGTTGTCTACACCGTCGTTTGAGTTATATAGTGGGAAACCAACAGCGATGAGTTGTCTTTTGAGAAAAAAAGAGAATGCTACACATTATGGCATATGATTGAGTATATACTCGTTTGTCTAATACAATCTGGATTGTTTTCTTGTCTATCTTAAGTTGTTTGACATTGTCTACACAGACAGATATAATGAAAAAGCAGTTATTCTTATGATGATACGATACATATTATTGTCGTAGATTAATTTAGATTGTTTGACTATTTTTTTTCTTTTGTTCGTCTAACCTTTTTCTTTTTTTTTTTTTTTTTTTTTGTTTTTGTCTAACATTAATAACAAAATTAATGAATAAAACTATGAAAATTATTTATTTTTTTTTTTTGTTTCGAAATATTAGAAAAATCTTCCTAATAGAAAAGTACAATATATATGTATATATGTATCTAGTCTATGTGTATGGATGTATATTGGCATTTGAATGATTGACATTTATGTGTGCCATGAAAGAGCAACAACAATAATGGTAATGACAAAAATAACAACTCACAGCAAGCATTTTTTGTATAAAGTATGTTAAAAGAAATATATTGACAGAAGAGGGCGGAACGAGCTTTTCTTGCCCTATATTAGTGTATATCCCGAAGAAAAAAAAAGAAGACATGTTACATAGTAAGAGAAACACAATCAGAAGGCAAGATACATTATATTTCAAGATTGTGCCATAATACTCGTTGTCATTAGACATACTATCCACAAAATAACAACAATTTCTTTGCTTGATTTTCATGTCAACTTAGATCGAAATATCTTCTTAAAATAGCTTAATAACAAATATATTATATATAGAATAGAAATATCTCATTATGTATATAGTCGTTTACATTTGTGCAATGAATTTTTTTTTTTTCGTGTTATAATTAAATATTTAATTAAACTATTGCTAAATTTATATATATGTATATAGAAATTTTCTATAGTAGAAAAGAGAAAAATAATTAATTTTTATCGCATATTTCAACAATCATTGAATCATCAATAAAAATATATGTAATCAACGTTAAGTTGACTCTATAATAATGTACGTAATATGAGATAAGAAATAATATTTGTTTTTTTCATCAGACGATGACATTCGTAGGAATTTATTCGAATCTCTTCTGTTGTAAATGACACTCATATTTCTGATTAACCAGTAGGATACGACACAAGTCAATATCTTGTAATAATAATCCATTAGAAATCATGTTTTTTATCTACAGCTGTATCAAATTCAATGGTTTAATCATCTGAAAAATATGTATTAATAATAAATGAAAAAACTTTTATTCATTAATTTCTGACTCAATACATGTGGAAATATATTGATTAGAGATGAATATGATAAGCAAATCGATTTCTCTGGAAACAATAGAAAAAGACATAACCAGATTAAATGTCATTCCTCAGTTTGGACCTTTATTCTTCATCGCACTGCTAATAATAATATATTTTATGAAATAAACAATGAGAATATTTCTTAATTCTATAGATTTTTTTTTCAAAGACTATGCATAATGTATTTTGTATAGATTTATATATACATACAAATAGTTATTTTAATTTGATTATCATTACTGAAAGAATTCTCGAAGTCTCAAATTGTTATAAAACTTCTAACAGATTTATACAGAATAGCTAATTGCAACAGAACAAAATAACATTCTATTAAACTCCAAGATTAAAATCTCTGTTAGTCTTCTCAAATAAAAATTCATATTTTTGCGAAAATCAAAATGCTCTTGTGAATTGTGTATGTGCACTAAATGTATATCAATAGTTTACAAATGTTATAGGACTAAAGTTTCTATTGTTTCACCGTCGGCTAATTGATTCAAATCATGTTATTTCAGCTGATGATATCATAACAAATGTGATTTGCAAGTATCATTATACTTATCATTAAAATTAGAAAATATGTTGAAATTTTTCAACTCCATAAATCTCCATATGCAAACATAACAAACGAGTTCATATCAAATGCTTGGCCGGAGTGTTATTTTTTTTTTTTACAGCAAAGTATTAATTTCAAATCAATTCTAGAAAAAAAAACATGTGTTCAGTGAAATTATATAACTAATGATATCGGGTATATCCATTAATTTGATTCATTGATGTCAGATGTTTCTCTTGACAATTATGAATTTATAATACTATCGAAGAAAATTGTCACGCCGACCTTTTTGATGCTAAAATGTGGAATTCACATGTCTTTTTACAGCAGCTTCATTATACAAATAGAAAATATGTTAAGTAAAAAATCTCTAATAAATAATCATTCCTTTCCAAGAATAATCGATCGACAGACGAACGATCTGTCTTATTTATTTCTACATTTCGAACAATTTTTATTTTAGTTTTTCACTTGCACTCTATCTCCTTATATGTCATGTTGCAATTTGCTCGATATTTATTATTTTTTTTGGTTTGTTTTTTTCCTAAACTGCTATTACTATTATGATTCTAATCATTGATTTAACTGACATGTGCGCCAGTTGTAGACATCTATTACACCTACACCAGATATTAACGCACTACTACGCGTCTCGATAATTATAGAGACACTCCTATTAATCACTAGCCATCATATTTGATATCTATCATGTAGTCGACTGTCTGCATAAAAATCAGAACCTACGCTGTTTAGAACCATTGAAAACGTATTCCAATCATTTAAATTTCAAGAAAGACTTTGGAATATTCTTAACGGGTCTAAAACTATTAAACCACTTTTGAATTGGGACTATGTACATTATATAGAACCAAATGCGTTATGAATATTCAGTAATTATATTAGATTGGTTTGATTCGATCTTAGGATAGAAGCAAATCAAAAGATCAGATACTTTCATACCAAACTGCTCTGGTTAAGGTCAATCTCTCTGTACAAAGTTTCAAGTCGAAATTCGAAAATCAGTTTTTCTTGTATTCCTGAGAGTCTGTTGTTGTAAATGCTGTTCAGCGCCTTCTTTTTGCTACCTGATGCCCATTGTTCATGGTTGCTAAAGTCTGTTACGAGCGCCTTTGCCAATGTTGCTATGACTATTACCAGCATTAAAATCATTGATCTACACTCACTCTCATTGTCATGCATCGATCGGAATACTTTTGAAGGAAGGAGAGTTAACTTACAATCACTATTTTCCTTTGTCAAATGTGTAATATTTATCGTCTAACGCCTTCATACATTGACTACTAGCGACATTTGTCTACTCATAGTGACTGTTGCTATGAGAAATAACATGACCGATGGAATGACAATGTTACTTTTCTTTTTTTTCGTGATATACGCATACAGTTGGTCAGTGATTTAACTAGAATGGATAATTTTTTAATATATGAAGAAATTCATAAACGTGATTCTTGTATTGTTTATCGTGGTCGAATAAAACGATCAATTGATTTTGTTATGATCTATTGTGTTGATAAATATAAACGACATGAATTAAGTAATCTCGTATGTATATATTCCTTGATGGTTTTGTTTTTTATTAGTTTATATAAAATTTGTATAGGTTCGATTAATGTATGAACTTGATCATCCACATATAATGAAATTTCGAGAATGGTATGAAACAACAAATCATCTGTGGCTTGTTATGGATTTATGTGATGGTATAATAATTCTTGCTTTTTTGTTCATTTATTTATTTATTTATTTATTTTTTTGAAAAAAAAAGGTGGTTCACTTAAATCAATTATACAAGCTGATGGATCTTTACCGGAAATATCTATACGTACAATTGGTGTTCATATATGTCAAGGTTTATATTATCTTCATCAACAAGATATTCTTTTTTGTGATCTTAATCCTGAAAAAGTATTAAAAATAAAATTTTGAAATTTTATTTTTTATTTTTTTTTTTATAATAATAGATTGTTTCGGATGGTTCAAATATATTTAAATTAGCAAATATGACATTATCAAGAATGAAAGGTGAAAATTTACAAATAATTTTTGATGAAACTTATGATAATTATCTTGATGATGTTTATCGAGGAAAAGAACGACCAAAAGCACAAACTGGTAAATAGAAAATTAATCAAAGAAACAAAAAAACTCATCTATAATAAAAAAAAATGTCAATGTCTGCTTTTTTTTTTAGAGAATCATTTTTATACAGCACCTGAAATACTTCGTGGTGCTGAATATTCTATAAGTTCTGATTTATGGTCACTTGGATGTATTTTATATGAAATGTTTGCTGGTAAAATTTTTGTTTATGATAAAATTTTTTTATTTTCAATATATATATTTTAGGACGACAATTATATGATGAAAAAAATGCAAATAAATTAACACAAAAAATTCTTAATGATCGTTTTGTTTTACCAATGGCAAGAGGTTCAGCTAAACCATCAATTGAATTTGCTAGTTTATTACAAGGTTTATTAGTTAAAGAACCAACTAAAAGGTATAATGAATATTGTTAAAATTAGAAATAATGATTATAAAATAGGACAGTATCTAGAATTCATATTTTCTACTTGGTTCATTGTAAGAATCAATAAAATCTAATCTATTTATTTTAGACTCGATTGGCCAGGTATATTAACTCATCCATTTTGGATTGGTCAATTAAGTCATCTTGTTCGACCACAAACAGGTGCAGCAAAGAAAAGTGTCAATCAAAATGAAACACATGGTATTTTAACAAAAAAAGATTTTTATTGTAAAATTTTATCAATAAACAATATTTAGATCGTCCACCAATATCATCTCGATTAGCTACTACAGATCGACCAGAATCAAATGTATCATTTAGTCTAAGGTAATATATATATATGACATTATTTTAATAGTATAATTTTATAATAAAATAAAATTTTTAAGTTGTACAAAAACATCTATTCAAATAGCTCAACAAAATAAACCAGATGAAACTGATGGTAATAAAATACATCGTAATGATTATTCATCAATTAATACACATGAACAATCAACATCATTTGGTGGTGAAACAATTGAACGTCTTCGAAAAATGCTTTTTTCAAAAGCTGAATTACAACCAACAACAATTATAGAAAATAAAACTATTCAAAAAACATTACCATTTAAATTTGAAAATAAATTATTACCATTTCAATTAGGAAAATGTAAGAATTTATATTGAAATTTTTATATATATAGTTAAAGAGAAGAATTTTTTTTTATCTAAGAAAATAACTATTGAATAGAATGTATAACAGAATTGTTCATAACAAAAACTTTATTTATAATATTGATCTTAAATGAATAGAACAGTTCACTATTGAAATATCAAAATTTCATTAAAAAGAATTTATTCCATAACTGACGATGGCATTTTTTTTTTCGCCCTAACGACCTTGAGCTTTCATCAGTAGATTGAAAAACAAAATAAGAAAAGTTCATATATATGGTAAAATAAGGCAGTGTCATTGGTAATTATCATAGAGACTGTCTATGTGATCTTGCATCATGTTGTACTTTTAAAATATCTGATATGGTACCTCAATGTATGAATTTTTAACTAAAATCTTCGTTGTTTTCAAGCTTTGACCTTCATCTTGTGATCATAAAAAAGTTACAATGAAATAAAAAAAAAGCGTCAAAAAGCGTTTATGCCCATGGCTCTTCCTTTCCGAGATATGAACAAACTTTTATTCCATATTTCATAAGCTCGTCTAACTGAAATTCATAATTATCAATATTTGTGATTGAGTTTCTTAGATATATTCAATATTCAAAGTCTTTAGAACAATAGAAATGAACATTCTTGAAGCTTTTTTTTAGTCTCATACTCAAAACATAGCACCAAAAAATTCTGAAAGAATTATCAACATAGAGATAGTCTAATGGACTAATAACTGAAAAAAAAAAAAGAAAGATAAATTGTTAAATTAATGTCCTTTGAGAGGGACATTTGGCTTTTAAGGGTTAATAATAACCTCTTCAACATACTTAAGATATTTACACAAAACAAAAAAAAAAATTTTATTGGTATTAGTTTCAATATCTGATTTATTCTTCCTCTTACTAAACATCTGATTATAAATAGTTTATATATCTGTATAAATAAATATTTCTTTATTTTTAATATTAAGATGAAAATTTGAGTCGATTATCATCTGTTGATCTTCAAGAACATGCAAATATGATTAAAAAAGAATTATCAAATACGACAACAGGATCACCTACAAATCCAAATGGAATGCGTATGAAACCAAATCTATTAAATTATATTGGATTTACTTGTCTTGAACAAGCAAATTCAGGTCCATTTGCTGATGCACTTATTGCTAAAGAAATTCATAAAGATCTTTTGAATTTAATAACAAATGGTACTACTATGGAATTGTAAGTATTAGAATTTTTCTTTTTCTTTTTCTTTTAAATTGAGAATTTTGTTCAAAGTACAAAAAAAAAGTAATCCACCTAAATTAAATGTACGCATACAACAACAACAACAACAAACATTTTAATTCAAGGTTTCTAATGTCTATTGAATATTTTCTCAATAATTTCTTTACAATCATCATGTTTTAATTGATGATCATTATCATTATTTTTTCCTTCTTCTTCAGTTGATTTTAAGGATCGACAAGATAATGTTTTAATATTTTCTAAATGAATAGATGAATCAATTAATTGTTGTTGACAATTTTCTTCGTTTAATCTTTGTGGTATTGTTGTAAACATGGGTGTAGCAGCATAGATTGGATCAATTTTATTACGTTTTATATTGCAAAGAAATTGATCATGTTCATGTTTTGAATTAATTAATGAATAAGGATGATTATCTTTACATGTAGGAGATAGTTGTGATGTTAATTGATAATTTATTTTTAATTTATCAAGATCATAAAGTTCTAAATGTTCCATTGAATGACGACGTATTATATGAGACATGAATTTCTAAATAATAATAATAATCATGAATTTACTTATTTTTGTTTTTATATTATTTAGAAAAATGAAAGCAACTCGTCTACTTGGAATTATATTCAATAAAGCAACTGATAATTTTCCTCTTTCGTCTTCACTTACCGATGTACGTATATATATAATACAACATATAGAAAATTATATTAGAAAGAATGTTATTACTACAAATGCGGCTCTATCTATATATCATCAGTTTCTTTTTTTTTTTTCTTTAATCAACACGTCTCCTGTCAGAATGCTTGATTTGTCACATGAAGTACGATAATAGAAAAAAGAATACGTGCTATAGAGAGCAAAAAATTCAGAAGAAAAAAAAAAAAAGAAGTCTATGCCTTTTGTGAAAATTAGCGTAGGTCGAAGAGAACAGCAAAAGAAAAAATGCCAATAGAATCTTGTTTCATTTATAGTTCCAATCTGACGATAAAAATGTTTCCAACTGTAAAAATTGCTCTTTGTTTGAGATTATTGCCATTCAATCAATCATGATGAGTAGTAAAAAAAACCGAGAAGTTTGTTTTTGTTTGATTTTCCGGTCGTCGCTTGTCGAATTATAGAATGTTGCAGTCAATTTTTTTTGCTCTATAATCATAGAACAATTGTGACCTTGAATGATTGATTTTCGAATGTCCTTAGATAAACTTTGCAATTAAAATGTTAACCAAAAAAAACAAATGAATCCTTATCATAACATTTATCTTTCAAAAGGGATACTTATTTTGGATTGTATTTTAAAATAAAGACATTTTTTTATGATAAACTGATGTCTCAATAAGGATATGTTTTGTTCTAGCTTCATAACTCAACATGCAAAGACCGGAAAAAAAGACAGAATTTTTTTTTTTTATTAGTCTCAAGTGAAATGATATTTGACAGTTGGGAACGTTCTCTCATAAGATTACTTTCTATTAATCTAATTAAGAAACTAAGATGGTTAACTTTTTTATTTATTTATTTTTTAGATACTTGTATCACTTACTGAGACACTTCGTGCAAATAGTAAAGAGACTAAATTTAAATTATATTTATTACAAGCTATCGGCGAAATTATGATATTTATTGCTGGACGAGTAATGTTTTTTTATTTTGTTTATTTATAATAGAATATTAATTGAATTTGATTTTTTGTTTTTTTTTTTTAGGCATCAGATAATTCTCTTGTACCTGGTTTTACATATCAGTTAATTGGTCGATGTCTTAAAGATGGTGTAAGTTAAATTATTCGAAAAAAAAAAAAAATAAACAAAAGGTTAGTTGTCTTTTTTTTTCTTCTTAAGGATGATATTGCACTTAATCATGCTGCATGTAAAATAATTGAAAATCTTTTACTTGTTGCCGATAAACAAGCAGATAAATTAGCTACATCAGATATTGCTCTTGCACTTTGGAATATTTCTAGTACAGGTGGTAATAATGAACACATACGTGCTTCGGCTTTAGCTGTAAAAAAAAAAATAGAAGATTTTCTTTTCTCGTTTTATGGCTGTTTTGTTTTTTGTTTTTAGGCTTTATGTCATATGGGTTTATCATATCTTGATATTGTTCAATCTGTTTTTGATAAAGTGACTATTAAAAGCGATATATTTCAATCAACATCATCAAAAGTTCTTCAATATAATATAACACTTTTAGCTATTCTAGCTAAACGAACAAAGAATCGTACAATGTTTATACAAGTAAAATATATTCAATAGATAGATATTTATTTATAAAAGATATTAGGATAATCCTTATGAGATTAAAATTATAAAATAAAGTGTAGTTGACATTCTTAATTATAAGAAGATTATTTTATTCTATCTATTTTGAGACATATTTTTTCATCATCTTTTTACTTTATCCTGTTCGAAAATGCAATAAGAAAATAATTTATATATTATAACGAGATGTTTTTGATTTAAGGTCTTTGATCGTATATTGTCATAGTCTATGACGCTCTGGGAGTTCCGTTTGAACTCATATATTGCTCATAGGTAGATAAAAATCTTGAAATGATTCGTATCATTAGGCATTTCTTCTCGATTTATGGTCGTTCTACTGAACTTATATCCAAGATATTCTCGTTTGTTTTCAGTGTATATGAAAAGCTTGTTGTCAGTAAAGTCATTTTTGTAAATGTATTGCTGAATATGATTCTAATATAAGGATTATGCATATTTACTTTAATCTAATATGTTCTCGATCATGCTTGGAAAGAAGGAAAACGATCGATGTTATTCATACATAAGCTTTCAAGAAAGACAATCAATCAAATGAAATAAATCGTATACTTGGAAGACCTTTCGAACTCATTGAAATTTATGAATATTTTGAGTTATTTGCTAATAAATTTTATTCAATAGGAAATCTTCTCAGATGTTGACCTTTGATTTCAATGATTTTTTTCCTGTAGACACAATATAGTGTCCTAGGAAAAATCCTAAAAGAATTTAGGCTCGTGTCCCTTCTGACAGAAGATGAGTTTATAGCAGGCCTCGAAATCGGGCCGCTTTTTTAATAACCCGACCCAAAATGGCCTGAACATTGCTTAGGTCCGGCTCGAGTCCGAAGAAAATTTCGTTTACAAAGATTTTTTTTTTCCATGGAGAGCTATTGCATATTTTTCGTTCTTCAGAAAAAAGTGATGACTGGGAGGGAGTGGCGAGGAAATTTCCCTCTCAAGAGTGAGTCAAAAAAAGGATAAAATCGTCGGACCGAACGGCCCGGCCCAACGGCGTTGTGGGTTCAGCCCGGACCGGGTGGCTCATTTCGAGGCCTAGTTCATAGTTCTGATTTTTTTCTCCATTGGTATAGATTCATCGAAAAAAATGAATTTTGACCTGAGATTTCGTTTATATGTAGTTCTATTCCATAGGAAAATACTCTGCAATTTTCAAGCAGAATAAATTTATTCTTCTAAAGATATTCAATTTTTGAAAAATAGAAGATTTTCTCAGAAGTATTGGAAAAATTGAATACCTTTAGTATAGCACATTTATTCTATCTAAAAATTTCAGAGTATTCTTCTGTTCATTTCAAATCGAAATGCGTTCAATTCATTTTTCCGATGACCCAATCTCAAGAAGAATATGAATATACCTTCCGAAAGAAATGATAGAGCCGCAAATCCTTCTAGGATTCTATTGTGTCTATAAGGACAAAGTCATGGAAATCGGAAGGAAACATCCGAGGAGGTTTCCATCGTCAGCCTAAAATTAGTTCATGAAAAAAAACCTAGTTTTCTTTCTATTTAATACTTATTTATTATAGGATATATTGCCAAAAATGAATGTTCTTTATGAAAATACAAATGTTCTTATTCGTGCTAAAGCATATACTTTAACTTATGTTTTATTATCTACATACAGTGAAAGTCTTTATACATTAAGTGATACAAAGTATGTCGATAAATTCATTATTAATATTATTTATTTATTTTTTTTATAAAATTTTATTTCATTAGACTTTTTCAAGCAATTGAACGTGATGTTCGTCGTACATCAGCTGATCCAGATGAAAATGATTTATTACATGAAGCACTTAATCGTTTAACAACACTTTTATCAAGTCATCTAAATCGAATATTAGGTAATATTTATATCTAAAAAAAAAAATTTTCGAAATAAAAATTCTAGATGAACTTTTATCATCTACTGAACAAACAAGAAAAACATCATCAGCTAAAGATGCATTTAAAAAATGGTTATCATCATTTCGATTAATATCAACTATTATTGGAAATCATGTAAATTAATAAAAAATAATAATTTATTTATTTCATTATTTTTCTTTAGTGTATTCGTTCTCGTGTTGTTACATTAATGTCAATTAAAAAATTATTTAAACTTTTTACGAATATTAAACTCATTGCAGAATTAAATAGTGAATTAACAAAAGGTAAAATTAATATAATAAGATAATCTCTTTAGATTAGGAAACTTTTTTCACATCTGAGAAGATTTAATTATAAGAATTCATTTGTTTTTTTTAAGGTCCATCATCATTAACTGAAATCATATCTTATGTTTCTCAAACATTAGATGCATTTGTTCGTGCACGTGATCTTTTATCATTATTTAGTGAAATACTTCTTAGTGATCTTCTTCCACTTTGTTCACAATTACTTGTTTCATCAAATGTTGATGAATTTTCTCTATGTGCTTTATGTATACTTAATGAATTATTAAATGAATTAAAATTAACTGATTGTGTTTTACCTATACATATACAACATGATATAAAACAAGAATTATATCAAACATTTTTACCAATTATTTGTGATCGACATATATTACGTGAAGAACCAATTGCATTACTTAGTTTACGTTTTATTCAAACAATATGGGTATTAATTGATCATACATCTAATTCATTTTCAATTCTTTTACAATCAAATCTTATAACAAATTTATTTAATCTTATTATACAAAATAAAGATAAATCAACAGGTACATTTGTTCAAGGTATTGTTTCTTGTTTAACAATATTATCTGAAAAACGTGAAATAATTCAAACAATGATTGAACAAGGTAAATAGAATAAAAAAAGATTTTTTGTTTTT